ATTGAAAATACATCCGAAATCATTGTAAATCTATTTCTGCCTCAAAATCATGAATTTGGAGCTCCAAAAGTAAATAAAAAATAAAAAAATAAAAATAAAAATAAAAATAAAGATAAAAATAAAATAAATCTAATGATAAATGAAAATTTAAATGAACATTCCAAAAAAAGGATAAAATAGAACAATTTCAGGCCAAAACTTTTCTTTTTCACTTTTTGAAACTAATGATCATGGTAGTTTCGAACTTCAAAATTTTGGATCTAAAACTCTTCCCCATGATGTTCTTGGGTGAATGGATACACTAGAACGGAAACAGCCTTAGACGCGCCTAAACCTTCTACAACACAAAAATGTAAGGTGCCGCAATTTTCTTCTTCATTATTTTCCCTAAAAGTTCATCGTTTTGATGAAAATATGAGTTGGCCGTTGCGTTAATCAATTTGCATTGTTGCTGCCGTTAACCAAGGTTCAGAAAATTGACTTGGCCAAGGTACTTAGACCTTGGTCGAGGCAAGATATTTGGTCTAGTCTGAATAACTCGACCAAGTTCATGTCAGGTTAACAAGAAAAAGAATAATAAAATAAATTAAAATATATATAATAAAATACTTAATTTATCATGAGTACTCAAGTAACGTGCTAGTAAATGTAGTGCTCTGATACCACTTGTTCAATCATGAATGCATCAAAGTGTTTGTACCACTGTCCAAAAGACTGCTCTAGGCCGTACAATGACTTATTCAGCTAGCAGACATAGTCATATTTTCCTTTAACAACAAACTCTTCTGGCGAAAGTCATATAAATCTGTTCTTCTAACTCTCCATGAAGGTGCAATCTTGACATCAGGCTGCTCTAACTCCAAATCAAATAATGCAGCCATGGTTAGTAAATCCCAAATAGAAGTGTGTTTCACAATATGAGAGAAAATCTCATTATAGTCAACATCTTTTTTCTGTACATAGCTTTTTGTAACTAAACATGCCTTAAACCGATCACCACCTGCCTCAGGTGACCCATCTTTATTCTTATAAGCTCATTTACAACCAATGACTATCTTGCGTTTAGGTAACTTCATAAGATCCCAAGTACGATTCTTCGGAAGAGATTTCGTTTCTTCATCCATGACTTCACTCCACCTGCTACTGTCACTATCATGTGTAGCTACCTTAAAAGTCGATGGCTCTTGGCTTTTGGCAGCAATGCATATTATGTGGGATTGAGATTGCTATTTGATAGGTTTCCTAAATGAAATAGAAATCCAAAAAGGATTAAGACCCTTATGTATATCTCTTGGTTTTTTTAAATATATGTAAGATCTATTTAAAGTTTCATATTTAGTATGAATTCCTAATTTTATATATATGTGATGAAAGTGCAGAAAATTCGTGTGCGTTATTTGAGTCACCATAAGAGAATGATGGTTCCTCTAGAGAGAGAGGAAGGCAATGCATCTTATGTATAAGATGCAAAGTTTCCTCTTAGAGAGAAGAAAGCTTCCATTGGAGAGAAATATTGTGATGGTGCATTTTTTATACTCTCAAAGATTGCTTGTTTCTTATAGAGAAGCGGTTCTCATTGAGATTTTGGATAGTTTCATCTTTTAGTTAGAGAGAAAGTCAGTTTCTCGTTGCTCTCGTGTCTCCATTTGGTGTTGTCCGTAATGATTGTCTCCACCAATCAAAGTATAGCATCCGGCAAGTATTAATGACTCTGCATAGTCATTACTCAGAAATGGTCGCCTTGTTTTCGACTATGACCTGTGAATTATTTGAAGGATGAAATTTGTGTGGGGCGGAAACAAACTAAAGTCTCCACTCAATTTCTTGTCCCAAAAGCACTTTTAACAACATAAATCTCTATGCTCTAAAATCAATTTTTAATTTTAAAAATAAAATTTAAAACTAAAAAAATAATACAGGTATTGCGAACATATAAACGTTTATTTTTAAAGCAAAATAAACGGTCTACATAATTTATTATAATATATATTATTTTTAGAGCTTGACATTCTAATTTTTTTCACAACTATAGTGTTCCAGTTGAGATGATCCATTTAAAGGTTTTTCAATACTCGAAATATAATTTTTGATAAATTATGAGGTGAGGCTTTATTTATTTTAACGGAACGGCAGCCTTATCAAACAATTTTCCATTATTGAAAACATGGATGCCAAAAATACCTACTCAACTTTTTTGGATTGAATTTTAAGTTTTAACTTAAATAAATGGGAGAAGACTTTTTGCAACCTCGTCTTATTAGAAAGGACAAACCTAAACATATCACTTAGTTTGAGAGACTTAAATATTATTTACAGGATGGGTGTGATTATTAAACTTACCCGCAATATAAATCATAATAATAAACTATAAATTGATTAATTTTCATCAAGACTTCCCATAGTTTGGGACATCTCAATCTTCTATTTAGCGATTCTTGTATGACAAGGACATCCTTTTGTTCCAAAAAATTCACGCCAGGTGAAAAAAATGTTTATTCTATGTTTTCAAGGTATATGGTAAGATAAGTTATAAAGCGTGCGGTTCGTACAGAGCCCTCTAGACAATCAAAATAAAGCACACTTTTAAATAGTTTAAAGATACTGGTGTCAATATTGGAAATATTTGTAATAGCCTTAAAAAATATTTTCATATGTAATTATAAAATTTAAAGCTTCAGAAATAGGGTAGAACGAGCACATATATGAAAACTTGAAAATATTGAAAATTGACTTTTTCAAAACTTAAAATCTATTTTACTTGAAAATCTTGAAAATTGACTTTTCTTGAAATCCATTTTTTCTTATATTCATGCATCTTGATGTCGAGATAATCAATTTGAAGGTATTTGGGCAGCAAACAACCGCTTCAATAACCACTTCTAGTGAAATTTTTGAGGTGGGCTCTAATTTCATTGTTTAGAGCCTCGGCTCTATATAAATTTCTTCTAACAATAAATTCTACCCAAAAAAATCAGAAAAAAAGGAAAATATTGGAGAAAAACCATCTACTTACCAGAGCAAGGGCCTTGATGATGGTATTGGAAGTGTGGGTTGCAGGGAAGTTTCCTTCTGTGACTGAGGCCACGAGCACGTCCAAGAAGTCCTTGCCGGATCTGTTTTCGTGGCGACGTTCCTCGACCCAGCCCTCGAACATGGCTCCGAGCTCCTCAGACACACTCAGCATGGTTCTCTTATGGCCACCCACCCCAATCAACCTCAGAAAAGGGAGTACATCAGTGACATCGGGGGTGGCTGCTAACCTGAACAGCACCTCGATCAGCTCTTGGAATCTCTGCGCCTCTTCGCTGCCGCCGGCCCTTCCACCTTTAAACCGTTTTCCGGCCACCATTCTTGTGATAACGTTGAAGGTGAGATCCTGCAGCATCTGCTTCATCTCCACCCTTGCTGAATCCTGCTTGCTCTCCACACACTGACGGTGCAAATCTCTAACGCACATATCGACCTCGGAGATCCTCACATGTTTCAGGAGCTCAACGCGGCGAGGGGAGAGGAGCTCGTGTGTGGTGATTTTGCGCGACTCGCGCCACAGGGGGCCATAGGGAGCGAACCCAAGCATGGCTCTGTTATAGGCCAAGTACTCTGAGGCGGGGTTGTGAGGCCGTGTAGCGAAGACCCGATCGTTGGTGGTGAAACAGTCTTTCGCCGCTTCCCATCCGCTCACTATCAGTGTCCGCCGCCACCCCAGGCGGAGGGTGATGACCGGACCATATTTGTCTGCGAGGTCGGCGAGCAATCTGTAAGGAAGCGAAGATACAGAAAGGAGGGGCAAGTGCCCCAGAATTGGCCGTGAGCCGAGAGGCTCCGGCGCCTCCAGCTTTCTCTTCTTCTTTTCCGGCCACATCCATAGCTGGTGAATCATGAAACCGGCAAAAACTCCGGCCAATATTTTGAGTAGCTCAAGCGATTCCATTTGTCAGTGTTCTTCTTCTTGACCTCTTTTTTCATTGCTCTTTTCTTTTTTTGTGTGTGTGTAATTTATAATGTGATGTCTCATCGGTAATTTTAGGGTGCAAGTTGATTATTATCAAATTTATATCTTCGATAAAGTTTTATTGTTGTATGTCCATGTCCATAGAGCTTACTAAAGCACTTATAGTATGGTATCTATTGTATAGTCTAGCTGGTTTGTATGCTGTGTATTCATGACCGCCGATTTTTATTTTATTTTTGGCAAATGTTATCTCATTTATTGATAAAAGATTACGAGAAGGAAATTATATCATTATAAACCAGTGGTTTAAAAAACCCGATCGGTGCCTTAGATCGGGTACCCCAAAAACCTATCCGAATCGGTAAATTGGCATTTCGGATCAGGAATAAGTCAGATTCAACCTTAAAAAAATCCAAAAAAATTATTAAAAATAAGTATAAATGTTGTTTTTTTAGGAATACAATAAGAAATAGGGGTACTACATTAAGAACTTTTATTTTTTCATCAATATGCGAATATTGAAATGTTCTTTCCCTGTATGAATAAATTTAAAAATTGTCTTATAATATCATCTAATTTTTTTTAAAATTATTTACAGTTATAATAAAAATAATATATTATATAATTTATAATGTAAATAAATAAACAAATAAAATATCAATGTATAATTATTAATAATAAACAAAGATGTGACCCTTACAAATAAATAAATCTACAAAAGTATAGAATTTAGAAACATAAATTTATAATTATATTATAATAAAATTAGAAAAATATGTAACTATCATACTTGTAATGTGCGATAATTGACAAAGCAGCTTTAAAATAGATTTTAAAGTGGTTTGAGCTAGTGTTATTTTTTTAGCTTAAAATATCCCATAAACTAGTAATTTTTTAATGGTCAGTAAACTAATATTAATATTATTTTTTGTTGTTCTAATATTTTATGAGTTAGTACTATTTTTTTCTTTTTAATCTCTATTAATCAATAACCTAATACCTAATATCTAATAAATGGGTTATCTTTTACCGTAAAAAGCTTAATTTAGTTTTAATGAGGGAGCACTTCACCAAGGCACGAGGTGTTTTCTAGAGTCATCATGCGCATGGTACAAAAAAACATTTGCCCCACATCGAAAAGATGAGGGAGCACTTCACCATATAAAAAACATGGCACAAGGCGTGTGTCACCGATATCCGATTCGGATCGGATCGGCGATTTTTCTAACATAGGGCAAAGAAGATCCACTTTTTGTAAGATAATCTTGCCAATGAATTCGCTTCTAGGCAGATAAAGTTAGGCAGAAAGTTGTAAGATAATCTTGCCAAAGCAGAAAGTTGTAAGATAATCTTGCCAATGAATTCGCTTCTAGGCAGATAAAGTTGTAAGATAATCTTGCCAATGAATTCGCTTCTAGGCAGATAAAGTTGTAAGATAATCTTGCCAAAGCAGAAAGTTGTGAGATAATCTTCCCAATGAATTCGCTTCTAGGCAGATAAAGTCAGAAAGCATAAATTTGTAAGATAATCTTGCCAAAGCAGAAAGTTGTAAGATAATCTTGCCAATGAATTCGCTTTTAGGCAGATAAAGTCAGGCAAAAAACAGAAAGTCAGGCGAACGTGCTAGTGGACACTAAATTATTCTTTAAAAAAAGTACAAAAACAAAAAAATGAACCGCCCGGATCTCCGGATCCGCATATGATGCGGTATTGCTGATATCCGATTTGGATCGCCTGATTTCAGATCGGAGTTTTCAAACATAGGGCAAAGAAGCTCCACCTTTTGAAAGATAATCTTACCAATGAATTTGCTTACTAAAAAAATGGAGAAAGGAGACTGACAAAGGTACTACTCAATCAAGGATTTGCAACCAAAGAGACCTAAGCTCTACCTCTTGCCTTTTAATTTTGTGCTAGGCACATGTACTATACTCTTGTGGGGGCATGTATACTGAGCATAATTTACTTTTATTGCCACGATCAGAAGACTTAATTGGGAGGATTTTTTCAAAGTAAAATTTTGGAAACCATCTAAGAATCGATTATTCTCAAAATAAACAAAATTTGGTGGTCTCAATTCAATCTCTAGGCATTATTTTTTCAATCTCACCATCTAAAAATTTAATCTCACCATCTAAAAATTTGGTGGTCTCAATTCAATCTCACCATCTAAAAATTTCACATCTAAAAATTTGGTGGTCTCAATTCAATCTCACCATCTAAAAATTTGTGGTCTCAATTCAATCTCACCATCTAAAAATTTGGTGGTCTCAATTCAATCTCACCGTCTAAAAATTTGGTGGTCTCAATTCAATCTCACCATCTAAAAATTTGGTGGTCTCAATTCAATCTCACCATCTAAAAATTTGGTAGTCTCAATTCAATCTCTAGGCATTATTTTTTCAAGTGTATAGATGTTACAATTAAAAAATATTTTTATTGAAGTTAATCTAAGGCCCAAAAATTTGGGGTCCAAAGGAGCCTCATAAATGTGCAATCTCATATTTTCGTATTTTAATTAGCGTCTAATCAATCGCTCCCGACATGGACCCCTCTCAGGTCAACCCTGACTTGGACCTGGACGAAAACTATCTAGGTCTGGTTTGGATTCAAATCAAGATCCATTCGGGTCTGGGCTAACACAAACCCAAACTCGACTTCCTGAGTTCTTGTCTGAAGCCCAAATGAATCAAGTTGACATGCAGCCCGACTCGTTTTCAGTCTTACAACAAAACAAAAAATAAATAAATTGTGAGAAAAGAGGACCTAGTGTAAAAAAAAATTAGTAGGGGATATCTTCTTTAAGACGCACCGACTGTGCATATCTGGATCGGTCAAATTGTACAATCAAATCAGCCAACTAATATCTAGATAAGCGAAATTGGGCAATCATATCAGCCAAGATGACAATCCATCACAATGATGAACAAAAAAAACTAAAATTGAAGGGTAAAATAAAAATAAACAATCGTATAGAACTATGGATCAAAGTTTCTAACAATTACATGAGGACCGCATATGCTATGCTCCCTTGAAACATAATATACATTTACTCCCTTGGGCAAATCACTATTCGATATATTTTGTTTGCCCCCATACATTTACTCCCTCGGGCAAATTACTAATTTGGGGAATGATTATTTTTAAAGAATTTTTTATTATTATTATTTTGAGTTCATAAACCTCTAGATCACAACCTCGAGAAATTTCATAGCTCACTTGAAATCTTGGGATACCCCGTTTTTTTTAGGCACATAGAGAGTGAGAGCTAATTTTTTTTTCCTTTGAGGTTGGTTGTTATTGAGCTGCAAAAGATTACAACCCAAAATTTAAGATCGAAAAGATATCCCCAATGTAAGTTTTGCCCGAGGGAATAGATAGATGGTATACTCCCACAGAAGTAGGAAATATTTTGACTTAACTAGAGGTAAAAAATCAAGGATGATGCATATACCAATTTTGTCAAATTCCCTTCGCAGTTTTTTTCGGTCCGGTAAGAAAAATGAAGCAATTTGGTGTTTCGACTGATTCGGGGAAAGACTTTATATTTTTTAAATTAATATAAATAAATTAGATATTTATATATAAAAATAATAAAAAATAAAAAATAAAAATTTTAAAAAAGTAAAAAAATACTTTTATATAGATTTTTCTTTACTTCGACTGAATTAGCCGGAAACAAATCAAAGTGTACCAAATACGACAACATCATGTTTCACATTGCTTAGGCTTAAAATCCGAAGGCTTCACCCCCTTTGGCGAATTTTACCAAACTGGTATATATGTGGAGAAAATGAAGGCCCACTTTAAGGTATGTACGTTAAAGTATGTACGCCAAAAACCCAAATCCACACCACACGTTTTTATGTAGCTAACGAAATTCAGGCGTGCAAATCTATCTTGAATTTTGTACTAAATGCCCTCATTTCCCATCGAGTTTATTTTTTGGGAAAGCAAGCATATGTAGAAATGCGGACCTTTTAATAAATTTATTTTTGTGATGGATTTTAAGACTTAATTTTTATGGATACAAAATCTCTAACATGGACATCACTAATATATGAAATCAATGAATTTTAAAAATAAAAAATAGTAATTCTAGTAACAAAACATTTGGACCGTTTCTATTGTTTTTAGATGGAACACCTACTTGTATCCATCTTTAAGATGAATACTTTACACTTTCTTAAATATTTTACTCCTATTTCTTAGATATTACTCAACTTCACTGTATCAGCGAGTCGTCTTTATTGTAGTTTATGTTGCACAACCCATGTATCGTACACAGTGCATCTATAGGGACATGCTGACAAAAGGGCTTATGGCCGGGTTTTGGGTTGGGGTCCCCCTTATTAGGCCTCATTATCCATCCTAGTGGTAGTCGAGCTCGGGCCAAGCTTCACCAAAATAAATGCTCTCGTAGTATACAATCTGGGCAAATAAATATGAATTGGAAACAGTTTACCTAAAGTGTCAACCTTACACTCTAAAAAACCCACTAGAAAAGGTTGTTTTATACTGGAAAAGCCTCAAACCGATCCTGTTGACCATGAAATTCATAGAGCATGAAATTCGTAGGCAGTTGACCATGAAATTCGTAGGCAGTTGATATGCTTGGTAAAGGAAAGTCTTCCATCGTATCAGCCTTTTTTGGGAGGGAAAGATTCTTGAGTACATGTGGCTTTTTTATGGCCTTAGATCTTTGAAAAAGGTGTCCAAACACAGGTTTCCAATGAGAGTCTTCAACCTTCGGCTCTTTCTCTGGTTCTTCTTCTTATCCATTACAAACCAGTTGGTTAGGTGTGGTGCATCCTCCTCCTTGTTTGTTTCCTAATTTCAAAGAAGATGCATCCTCTTTTGTTCCGCCTTGCTGCTGCTAAAAAAGTAGGACTCGCTTCGATCCTCTTCTTGTCGATCCCCTCGCCATTATGGTGATTGAGCTGGAGAAGGCTGGTGCGCTTCTGAAACACGAATTTGTTGAGCATGTTTTAAGGGAGGAGACAGCTCCACGTCCAATTGAGGAGATTGCCTCTTTTCAACTGCAGCTGGTTGTCTCTCCTAAGGCTACCATTGTCAACACTAGTGCCGTCGGGCATTCCTTACCTGTCTTGGGCTCTGAGGATGATGCGCCGTTGGTGGGAAGGATGATGGTTGAAATGGGCATGGACGATGCCCCACTCGCGATCATGATGGATGCTAATAGGACGAACCTCAAAGCTAAAGCCGGGATGATTAGAGATAAGCAACCTAAAGTCCCTGTAAAGGAAACTGAGGTTGATGAAGCTGCTCTATTGGCTGATGGTGTTTCTGGGTTGGTGGTTGATAAA